GGGGAGGATTTCATCTTCCCATGTCTAAGCTGCTCCTGTAATCCTGCAAGGAGGTTTGCTTTGAAGCTCTGGCCCAGCTCGGCGCAGCTGGCTCACAGCCACAATTACTTCCACTGCGAGCACACACCAAAAAAAAAAATATAAAAAGCTGAGCAAGAGGCCAAGGAGCAGGTAGTTAGCCTCAAACACTGACGAGTCAATCAAAGGCAGCCAGCGCTAATTAGTCCCAGTGCCTCCCCCCGTCACGGCTGCCCCATTACACAGGGACAAGAAGTCTCTGCTTGGGTCAGACAGGGCCAACCAGGAGCTGCTGGAGAGCCCGGAAGGCAGAGCAGGTTTTGGAGGGTTCAGGGTCTGAGGGTACAGCCCCAGATCACCACTTACAGAGCTTCAATCCCACCACCTTGCTCCCACCCATTGTCACCTCTGGTGCTCTCCTTTCCCTCTTCTCCAAGCATGGTCAGAGCCACCACAGAAGCTAAGGGGAACAAGGAGGCCACCCCGCTGCGGAATTATTTCCATTTTTCTTGCTTTTCCTAAAACCAGGGGGAAAAAAAGTGAGAGCCTACCAAAGGAGTCCCAGGTGCTTGCTCATGAGAAGCAGGCATTGAGCAGGGAACTGAAAAGAAAAGTGCGGCAGAAACATTGCAGCAATATGGGATAATAACCCTGCAAACACTGCGAGGCAGCTGAATAGCGATATTTTCTGGAGTAGCGTGGTATTGTAGGAGAGAAACCAGTAAACAAATATTTTCATTCAGCAGCAGGGGAAGGGGGGAGGCACGGCCGTTCCTCAGGGAGCTGGAGAGCAGCTCCAGAGTAGAGTTGTCATTAGAAGTAAGGGAGGGCAATTGCTCAAGATTACGGCATTGGCAGATACCAGCAAAGTCAGATTCCATGAGCGGCCCCGAGTGCAGCTCAGCCGTGGATGGCAGCCAAGCATTGCACCACTATCCTCTGCCACCCCCTAAAAACCAAGCTGCCAGGGTATCACACCCACCCTGCCAGCCAAGCTCCCATTGCTTGGAGAAGATACCACATGGGTAGGTTGGATGCACCCACCAAAAGCCATCAGGACGTCTTCCCCACCTCGTGTTCACCACGGCCAGCATTCCCTATGGTGGACCAGCTGTGAAACCCCAAGCCCAGACCCTACAGGGTCTGCACTAAACACAGCTTGGGAGATTCAGCTTGAAGCAGCCTGTTGGAAACACTCACCTCCTACTTCTTCTCCCCTCCATTTCCTAGTTATAGGAACCAGTATGAGAGCTACCACAATAGGCAGCTGAGGCAATCTAGGTTGATCTCCTTTTGCCATGAAATATCCCAGAAGAAGGACCACATTGTAGGTGGCAAATGTGGCAATTTGCTCCTCTCCATGTAGTGGCCCTTCAAGGCAGGTCCCACCCAAGGGCGTCACTCCAGCACTAGGGGGTTTAAGTCCTCAAGGTTTAAAGTCCTTCTAAACCCACGTAGTCCCATGTACTATTTCACAGTCTTCAAACCTGTATGAATGGCTAGGACCTCTTAGAGTCTGAATACAAAGTTATGAATAGTACTAAATACAGAGTTATCAAAGTTAATTATGAATTAAGGCTGGACATGGCCCAGACCCTACAGGGTCTGCACTAAACACAGCTTGGGAGATTCAGCTTGAAGCAGCCTGTTGGAAACACTCACCTCCTACTTCTTCTCCCCTCCATTTCCTAGTTATAGGAACCAGTATGAGAGCTACCACAATAGGCAGCTGAGGCAATCTAGGTTGATCTCCTTTTGCCATGAAATATCCCAGAAGAAGGACCACATTGTAGGTGGCAAATGTGGCAATTTGCTCCTCTCCATGTAGTGGCCCTTCAAGGCAGGTCCCACCCAAGGGCGTCACTCCAGCACTAGGGGGTTTAAGTCCTCAAGGTTTAAAGTCCTTCTAAACCCACGTAGTCCCATGTACTATTTCACAGTCTTCAAACCTGTATGAATGGCTAGGACCTTGTAGAGTCTGAATACAAAGTTATTAATGGTACTAAATACAGAGTTATCAAAGTTGATTATGAATTAAGGCTGGACATTACAAGAGCTATGTCCTGGCTTTGACTAATACCTAAACCCCATGACTTCTTGGAGCTTTGGTAGTTTCTGGTGATACAGAGAGGAGGTCTTCAGCTCTTTGAATCTTTTTACCAGCCCCGTAAAGAGCCTGTTGATCAGATTTAATGTGCCTGCTGCATCTTTTGCACTGCTGATGCAGAAAGAACTGCAAAGTAAGCATATCTCCAGCGTTCATCAGTCCAGGTCCTACAAACCCAACACAGGTAGGGAGCCACAAACACAGCGACTTACATTCCCTCCTAAAATGCTGCAAGAAATTCAATCAGATGTTTCAAGGTATTAGGTGGAAATATTAATGATAAATAATTGTATTTAATTAGCTGTTCTGACACTGAAGCAGCACCAGGGCTCAGCCGAGAGCCTTTGACCACAGCAAAAAGAGCTCTCCAAGCAGCCACATGTCAGCAATCCCACCTGGACTGCACGTAAACTACCCACATTGTAGGTGGCAAATGTGGCAATTTGCTCCTCTCCATGTAGTGGCCCTTCAAGGCAGGTTCCACCCAAGGGTGTCACCCCAGCACTAGAAGGTTTAAGTCTTCGAGGTTTAAAGTCCTTCTAAACCCACGTAGTCCCATGTACTATTTCATAGTCTTCAAACCTGTATGAATGGCTAGGACCTCTTAGAGTCTGAATACAAAGTTATGAATAGTACTAAATACAGAGTTATCAAAGTTAATTATGAATTAAGGCTGGACATGACAAGAGCTATGTCCTGGCTTTGACTAATACCTAAACCCCATGACTTCTTGGAGCTTTGGTAGTTTCTGGTGATGCAGAGAGA